GTTTCCAAAAAGAAAAGGTGGTGGAGCTAATTTTACTTTTCTTATCTGCAACACGTTCTTATTCTGAGGTGGTAGGTTGTAAAAATGTAGTTGGCTACTACAATGCGAGATCTACAAGGCTTATAATATAAAGTATTCAGTAGCCCTAGACTAGTTATGAGCGAAAGCCGCTTGTTGCTCCATTATCCGCGCGCAGCAATAACATGTCTATGAGCGAGGCCCGCAGTCGGGGAACACCGGGCCCTCCGGCGTTTGGAAGGTCCGATGTTCCCCGGGTCCGGTGTTCCCCGCCCCGGGGAACTCCGGACCCGGGGAACACCGGACCCGGGGAACACCGGACCCGGGGAACATCGGACCCGGGGAACATCGGGCCGACCCCATTTAATACTAGTGACCTAGCTATTTAAATGCATGGCCCCTCCTTCCTCCTGCAGATAGACGAATTTAAATGCATTCATTTAACAATAGTGACCTGCGAGTAATGAGATTAATGCTGTAAAGATGGCGCCGTGGCAAGAGCTCTGGTGTGTGCCGTCTGGAGCACGATGGGTAGTCTTTGCACATTTTTTCCAACGTGGTTTTACTGCAAGTGGCAGAACATGAATCTGAATTAATGCACATTGCTCCTCTTATATCCCTCAGACAATAGAGATTGATGCCATTTAAGATGCATTGTCCCTCAGTTAGCTCAAACACGTGTGAAAACGGAGCCTGCAGACCAAGCACGGGGCGAAAACTGACGCCTGCAGTCAAGTGCGCAGGGCAAAAACCAGCCGCCTGCAGCCTAGACTCCGGGATTAATCTGTCCGCGGTCGGCGCACTCACTGTACTCACATGCCAGGAGACTTGGGAAAAGCAACGGGACAACGCGGCACCGCCAATCGGAGGCAGGAACACGCACGGCACCGCCAGACCGTCTGCGCGCGGCAGCAGACCACGAGGAACGAGCAGCACAGAACCCGCGGAGGGGCCCCGCGGAGCAGCCCCGCGGAGCAGCCCGCAGAAGAGCCCGCAGAGGAGGAGAGCAGTGGGGATATGCGAACCACAGCAGGTGCAGGGACGTGGAGGAGGAGCAGACCACAAGCAGCCAGACTGAGGACAGCCGGGCCACGCGCACGAGCAACACGTGAGCAGAAGCGACCCCTCCAGAACAACGCATGCATTTGCGAACAGGAGCGTTAGCGACATGCACCTTGCGGACTTCAGAAGCTTTGCAAACTTCAGAAGGCCGGGAAGTGGGCGTCTCCGGCTTTTAACTTGCTGTCCTGGTGGTTATTGGTGGATTAGATGTGGGCGTTTTGCTGGTGTAATGAGTAGAGGATGAGCAGGCTTGTAGATCTGGCAGCAGTGGCCGGGTCTACCACAGTGAACTTTCGCGAAGAGCTTCATTTCACTCCTTAGAAATTCCACAACAATACCATTGGATCCAAATTTACCGTGACGTATGTAATGCGCCCGAGTGAGTGAGGCATTTAGAATTTAGCTTAGCTTTAGCATTTAGCCTAGCTTTAGTTGTATCTGATGGTTTGACAAAGTGACAGGCGACAGCAGCTCAGTTGGTAGAGCATTGGCCTTTGGGCCTGAAGGTCGTGGGTTTGAGCCCACCTCAAGACCTACTTCCTGACTCCCACTGATGTCTGCGGTCATTGTGTCCTTGGGCAAGACACTAAACCCCACTTTGCCTGAACCGATGGGTCCCCAAAATTCGAAGATTCTACAACTAGAGACAAACACGGATGTACTCTGAAAATGAGCGGGGATAGACAAACAAGGTCCGGGAAGGGAATTGTGGAGAAGAAATTGGATTCAAGTTCCAATTCGGATAACCTGGCTAACGCGACACACCACAATGTTGGGAAGGAAGCTGTTTGTGGTACCTTGTTGTGTGCGGGAGATCTAATTATGATAATGGACCACAAACTGGACACAACAAATCCTAAAAGGATCAAGACGGCTGTTGAGTCCTGGGTGGGAAAAACAACAAGAATTCTTGGTCTCAAGGACGTGTGGCAAGGCCTGCATGTTCGAGAGAAAGATTTTACTTTTTATTCAGCCCGCCATAATATGTATTCTCAAATTGACTATTACTTAATGTTTAACAGTGAACTTCACAGAGTGAAAGAATGTGAAATTGGACAAAGGGACCTCTCTGACCATGCAGGGCTCTACCTAACGTTAGAAAATTGACAATTTCTTGAAATCTTTAGATCTCCCCGCTCTTGGAAGAAAACACAATAAATCCCTGACCACTGAAATTTCGGATATAGAAATTAACAAAGCTATCTCAGCCTTAAAGACGGGAAAAAGTCCAGGTACAGACGGATACCCGGCTGAATGGTACAAGCTGATGAGGGAGCCGTTACTTGCTTAAAGAATGCTTTAACAATATATTGAAGGGAGGTATGCCCCCCCCCCTCATGGAGGGAGGCTTTTATCTCAGTTATACATAAAGAGAGGAAAAACAAATTGGATTGTAAATCGTATAGGCCTATCAGTGTTCTCAATGTAGATTATAAGCTTTTTGCATCGATTCTGGCCAGGAGAATGGAAGAGGCTATATCCTTTCTCATAGATGAAGACCAAACAGGTTTTGTTAAAGATCGTCAAACACACGATAATATACGACGAACCATTCATATCATTGATCACATAACAAAGACAAATTCCAGTGCAGTATTTCTCAGCTTAGATGCTGAGAAGGCCTTCAGTTAGTTGGTAATTCCTCTACCAAACAATGAGCCGCTTTGGCTTCGCAGATCAGTTCATACAATGCATAAAGGCCCTATATTCGACACCAACCGCAAGGATCAAAATTAATGGAGATCTAACTAACACAATAAAACTTCATAAAGGTTGTCGACAAGGCTGCCCGCTTAGCCCATTTCTGTTTAACTTGTTTATTGAACCGTTGGCCCAGATGATCCGACAGGAGGAGGATCTAGAAGGCATAACTAAAAGAGGCACGGAATATAAAATTTGCTTATATGCCGATGATGTGTTGGTAACACTCCAGAACCCAGAGTCCAGCATACCTAAACTCATGAGTGTAATTCAATTATATGGGTTATTATCTGGTTATAAGCTTAATTAATTGGAACTACATGAAAACTGAACAAAGAATTCTGAACATCCGCGCTGAGTTACTTATGTATATACTGAACCTATATCCATAATCAGATCCTCTGCAGATGTGTCCTATAATGTGCAATTCATGATAATAGCACTTCCTGGTTTGCCGCGATCGCTATTTTTGTGCATAAAAACATTATTTTTTTTAAATAAAACATTCACAAATAATTCTGAAAACCTCCGTGCATGTGTATTAATAATGTAAATGTATGATGTGTTCTCTGATTAACATTTCAAAGTGTTACGGAAACGTAGGTGTAGACCAATCAGAAAGGAAGGGGGAGGGAGCTTGCGTCGTTTTTTTCAAATGAAGTACCTCTCTGTCTCTCTTTCTGAAAAACTCCAGACAATCACTTTAATAGATGGTCTGTGCTCCCTATAGAGATCGGTGACAGGATAAGGTCAATTAAAATGGTAACACTGCCCAAATTATTATACGTTTTTAATGCTTTACCAGTTGAGATCCTGCTGATACAATTCAGAGTATGGGATAAATGCATATCCAGGTTTATATGGAAATCGAAGAAACCACGCATAAAATACTCTGTTCTTCAGCTGCCCAGAGACAGGGGAGGCATGGCACTACCCTGTCTGAGACATTACTACATTGCGGCCCAATTAAGATATCTCATATCTTCTTCTTTGGTGCGATGAGTCCTATGAAGCAAAATGGAAGGGTTTGGAGCTATCCCTGTCTGAAATGCCATTACAGGCAACACTTGGATGTGTAGAATGCTGTAGGACAATTTTGAATTTGTTAAATTTGGCCTTGATAAACATGATTTTTTCAGGTATCTCCAACTCCGTCATTATTTTACAAAAGAAATACAAAGCAATATATGAGTAAATTTTCCAGATCTGGTCCAATTACTCTTAAACATCTATAATGGAACAAGCTGCAAAAAGGTTGTTAGCAAAATATATAGGATTTTAAACTCAATGGAAAATGACACATACCTCCATGTAAAACATCAGTGGGATAAGGACCTGGCAGTTGAGATACCGGAGGAACTCTGGTTGGAGGGATGGAAATCCCAATGTAATACAACTAACTCATTTACTTGGAGAGATTTCTGTTGGAAAAGCCTGAGTCGTTTTTTTATGACACCAGTACGTAAATCAAAGATTTCAGCTGCTCCATCTTTGTGCTGGAGGGAATGCGGATCCAACAAAGCGGATCAGGTACTTATTTTTTGGTCATGTCCTGGAATTTTACAGTTTTGGCAGAAGGTGATAGCACTGATACGTCTTGTCTTAGGTATACAAGTTGACAACTCTTTTATTTCCCTATTCCTAAGTGTTCCACCAACAGGTCTAAATAAAAGTGACATTTATCTCTTTAGGATAATTCTTGCAGCTGGGAAATAGGCAATAACCAAATGTTGGCTTAGAAAAGAGGCTCCATCTTTGAGTCACCTGACACAGATATTGAACCAAATAAGAACAATGGAAACAATGACTTTTAACCTTCATCTACAACGTCACAAAGGGGAGGGACTCTGGAAAAAATGGGACTGTTTCATACAATCAACTGACAATGTCATTTGTGAAATATGCTATCTGCTATTCGAAATAATGTCATCTGCCTTACATGTATATCTAATCCAATCTCTGATAATGTGTGCTCTGTATTTTTGTTTTGTTTTTGAATGTTTCCAAAATGTTAAAAATGTTTGAAAAAAATAAAGTTATTAAAAAAAAAAAAAAACAATCTCACCACTCTCCAGTGTCACTGAAATGACTGTTTCTTGGTCTAAAACAGGAAATACAACACTTCCTGAAACTGCAACACACCAGAAGCCAGAACCAATCTGCTGCTTCATTGTTTTGGCTGCATCGCTTGTTCCCTTAATACTTTATTAGTTTTGTCTATGGATCTAAGGGAAGAGGAGCGAGCCCCTCTGGTGTTTCGAGACAGAGGTGGAAGCCAGAAGTCTGAGTCCAGTTCAGCTCACAGTCTACAAGTGCACCTGTACTTCTTCCCCGGTTCAAAAGACCAAAGCACCATAAACATCTCCTCTGGTCCCATCTCCGCCGAAGAACTCTGCAAACAGGCAGCAGCCAAATGTGGTATGTTCATTTTTCTCAACACAAGCTCTGGCCTCCTTATTTAAGAGTCGAGAATGTATTTGCCATTTGCAGTAAAACCACATTGTAATAACTGTGCAAGACGACCCCAGTGTGGGAAACTTGCATGCATGGGGGAATAATGTAGTCTGAGCGAGGGGTGGGCAAGGTTTGGAATGATGAGTCAAAATTCATAAATTTTGGCTTAAAAATCAAACGTACCCTGTGTTCCATTTAGAAGGGAATCAGCAAAGAATATCATCGAGTCTATACATAGTTCCTACATGACGTCACTACATACGGGGATTTGCCGACCCGGCGCCATTTGTGTTGGCATTCTGTGGGCAAAACAATAGAAAAAGAAGCTGAAACGTGTTAATGTCGTGATAAAGTTGAAAATGGTCATCTCCTGCTGGGTCAATGGATGTTCAAATCGTGCCGGAGGTTCTGTTAAACTTGGATTTTACAGTATACCCATCATTAGACTTCATGAATGTGAGAAGACTAAGCTTTTGTCAGAACAACAACGGAGGTTATGGCTTGCGAAGATAAACAGGCAAGAAACTCCCTCAAAACACGCAAGAATATGCTCGGAGCACTTTGTGTCAGGTGCGTATCGTATCTCATAATGTGTTGACAGACGTAATTTACTCAGTACTAACTTGTGTATGCTGATATCTGGTAACTTGAGAGTTTCATTATTTAGATTACTTTATTATGAGGAGGATCGGTGTCGCGTCCGAGGCTCTCGAGGGCAACGTAAATGTATTAAATAGATAATAATAGTTCTATGGTGGGCTAAAACAATGTTCACAAACAGCATTGCTTCTGTAAAAAGATCTGTGTCATAAAATAAACTGCTCTTTACGCCTGGAAAAATCAGTTGCCCACCATTCACCAAAACATACGGTCAAAAACGCGGAAATAAACAATAACAGCAATCCAGAGTGTCCGTGTGGCATTAGCATTAATTAAATTAAACCCCGCTCCCATCTCTGTGTGGAGAGAGAGACAAATGCCCAAAAAATAACAATTGTAAACCGCTTTGTGACTCTGGTCTGTGAAAGGCGGTATATAAATAAAGCTTACTTACTTACTTACTTACTTAAATTAATTGTTAATATAATTAAAATAATTAAATGGAGCTCCAACTGGTATTAAATCTAAAGTTTTTGAGAAATGTTTGCATTGCTTGTTAATTTTTGCTGCATAATTTGATCAAATATGTAAAACATGTCCGTAGCACGTTAAACTGTGGTGCCATTGTATTAATATACAATTATTTGCTCAAAAGTTGCCCTTTTTTTTCCAATTTGGTTTGAATATCTACATTTATTCTCATTCTTCTGTTTAATGGAATGCACAAACACAGCAGCGTGCCATCAAAGATGGCGTCTCCGAGGAGGTCATGTGACATTCATTGGTCTGTGGGAACTATGTATAATTGTTTTATTATACATCTCTATTTTTGAGAATATTATTCACCACACAAATTTAGCCCCCTTCTATGTTGGTCCTCGGTGGGTGGGCTTCACTCTGGGCACCTCTGGTCTGAGACAAATACATTGTTCCTGATTAATAATGGCAGTCTGTTGTCATAGGATATTGATCATGTTTATTTTATAGGAATCGTTCCAGTTTATCAGAGTCTTTTTGCTTTGGCGTCTGCGGACTCATCTTTCTGGTATCCTCCATCGCATGTGTTCACCACCGATGACAACCTCAAAGTCCAATTGCGAGTCAGGTTTGTCACTGTCCAGTTCACAATTAAGATTTAATAAGTTTGCAAACATTGTTGAGGTCATTTGGTGATAGTCTAGCCTGGTCTTACCATACCATTGTACTCACTTGATTTTGTACTAAGGTCTGGATTTGCTCCATTGACTCCGTTAACAGGTGGGAGGGGTTAACTCCCTTTGCAGATTGAAACCATTGGATCTGAGTTTACTGTAACGTATGTAATGATCCCGAGTGAGTGAGGCATTTAGCTTTAGCATGTAGCCTAGCTTTAGCCATCTCCTTTGCCACAAACGGAGCCCGTGGAAAGTAGAGCCACAACATCTTTGCTTCAATGACATTTACTAAACATTTCTCTTGCTCCCGCTTCAGTTTCTTGATATTTGGATTGAACCAGAACAGATTATTTTACTATCACATTCTCCGACAAACTAAAACCAACAAATTCAGCACAAACTCTTGACGTCACCCACACGACCTACAACACCCACTGCTCTCTGATTGGTTGGAACAACAACCGTTTCAGAGCTACTTAGGACTTGCTGCTGTTTTCATCGCATTCAAAAGATTAATAGTAATAATAAACACAATGTTTTATTTTTATTGAAACATTTATTGTGGTTTTCATTTTTTTTAAATTGACTTTTACATGTTTTGTAAATAATTTACAATAAATATAAACAATACATAAATAATAATTAAAATAAAAAGTATTCAGAATACAGCTACAACTTTTTCCAAATAGACAGAATACTTTATAATTTACATCTTAGGTAATGTATTCAGTATTGTGGAATAGAATACATTTTCAAAGTATTCTCCCAACAATGATTTCAGATTATTCAAGACTGTATTTCAGAAAATAAACAAAGGAAAGGTCTGTGCATCCAACTACTCAGGAAATGACGTTTTTTATCAGAATTTTAAGAGTGAAACTGTCACTTCCTGTGTTCATGTTCTCTGTGTTTGAAACATTTATTTGCTCAACAACGTTTCATCCAATTATTTTAAAATATACAATTTAAGCATTTGTCTTTTTAATAAGTACAACTGTTTGTAGAAGATTCTTTTAATGAGAAAAAATCAGAAGAGTTAAAATATTGAAATAAAATAAATACAAAACCACAAGAGTTTTCAGCTGCAGAAGAAAGAACCATCAGGAAGGAATTTGAAAAAGAAAGATGGGGCCCCTCAATTTAAAGGTATTGTCGAAAATCAACCTCACAGACGGGAACCTGGAAGTTTATTCAGTTTCCTTCAGTTAGAACAGAGTTAGAACAAGCTTTATTTTGTCAATGTTACGTCACACATCAAAGGAAACACATGTCACAATCGAGGCATAGTAGAGTCATAACACGGATACACAATCGAAGTAGATACATAATCAAAAGCAGATACACAATCGGAGTCGTTGTGACCTACACAAGGCCAGATCTCTCGTACAGCTATCTATTTCTCATTATATATAGGAGGATTTTTCCAAATTTTAGGAAAGAACCGCCCTCTCCACTTTTTGAACAAAACTCTCTGGTCTTATTGGACATATCACAAGAATGATTGACAGTTGGGAGGACCAATAGTCTTGATGATGCACCTGGAAGTAAAAATACCTCCTATTCTTGGGTTTCATATGACGTCGGAGCAGTGGCCCGAAGGACATACGTGGGACAGGACAGGATGTGACGTACCCTGGCGGTGCAGTCTGCCGGGTTTATATACGGAGATATAGTAGAAGAAGAAGCGCTGTCAAAATGCCCTCTCTTTGTGCGGTGTACGCTTGTAGCAACCGCGAAAATAGAAAGACAGAAAGAGTTCCAACTGTGGTCTCATATGAAGGAGTACATATAGAAATTATCACTCGAATGAGGCGGGCGAGGTGGATCAAGGCTTTCCCGGATATGCGCCCCCTGCAGGCCATACGAATGAAACGCAGCCATTTCTTCTGTTATATTTTCCAAAAATGCCCAAAATCAATATTTTTTTTTGTACTCCCTTAGAATTGAGTGTCCCTGATTAAGACTGTTACAAACAACCGTACACCGTACGGGAGGAGAGCCTTTTGACTCCAAAACAGACTTCACATGGTTTTCAATGGGAGCAAAACTGTCCCATCTCTTCTCATTCGCCCCCTACAGGCCAGGTTCATGAAACCCAAGAATATACCTTTAAATATCTAAAGAGGATTAAGTGTAAATATTTGTGCTTCTTTTTTTCACGACAAGGTTTCTGTTTGGGAACTGGTACGGTCAAGAATCAAAGTCTTCTTATCGCTTTAGTCATTCCAAAGACAGAATGAATCCAGTTGGGGACTGCGCCGTCATTGACTACCTCTTCGCACAGGTTTGAATCACATTTAAATCACGTTTCCACATGTGGTAACCCTTTAGATCTGATCTTATTAAGTCTTATCTTATTATTATCACTATTTTCAGATTGTTGCTTTAATGTTATTTGTCTTTTATTCTATGCAAGCTACTGTGACAACGCAATTTCCCCTGTGGATCAATAAAGTCTGTCAATAAAGTCCAAGTCGGCGCCAGAGGGTTTTTCCTAAGAAGCTCAATTTTGACATCTTAATTTCTAAATAACTTAAAAGTGAAAAGATATAGAGGCTTTTTGTAAATTAGAGAAATTATAAGAATGACCCAAAGTTTATGTAGGAATTAGTTATACCAATGTACAGTAATTTGCATATTACGACTTCATATGGTGGTGGCAATCGTGGATTTTCATTAAATATATATGTATTATTTACAGACAAAATTCACTAGATCAAGGAACACACAAACAGAACTCACCATACCACACTCAAGACTCAGGGAAATAGTAAAACAGTGAAAATCTTTTTGTGGCAGGAGTTTGAATGATCATTGACGTCCTGCTTGGCGCTTAGAGGGTCAATAATTGTTTGTGTTTTATACAACTAACAACTTTTGTAGTGGAGGAATGACTTCATCAGTGAGGCAGGAGTGTCTCTGCCTCTGACCACTCAAGAGGACTGTCTGGGACTCGCGGTGCTTGACTTGTGGAGAATGGCAAAAGAGCAACATCAAAGTGTGAGAGAGCTGTGTAAATCTGTCAGGTATAAAACCAAAGCAAACATATAACCATCTTACGACTATGACGCCAATACAGCTGGAACTTTATTGCATTTCGCCACTTTACAATCACAAACATAGAGATTTTTATTTAATCATTTTGCCTTTACTTATTTTTGTGTGGTTTTTTTTCAAACGTCTATCAAAATAAAACACAAAAACATGATACAAAATTACCAGAAGTAAACCGCTTGAAAAGGGGTTGGCAAAGGCTTGGCTCCAACCCCTCTCACGTTATTCGGTCATACAATATTTTTTGTTTTTTACAAAAACAATTTCGCTTATGTCAGTAATGTACATACTTCAACATAGATATACAAACGCATTTGTGTCCGAAGGGATTTGGCTGAAGTATAACTAATTTTTGCCTAATCCAATTCATAAAGTAAAGTCTCCAAAGTTTGGGGGCTTAACCCTTTTAAAAAAGAAGCAAAAACTAAATTTCAAGATCAGGAGAAATAAACAATGGATGGAAAGGAAAGATTACTTATAATAGTAAAAGTTTAGTCATAAATATATTCCTTTCTATTTTAACAACAAAAAAGAAACAGCAGTAAACTGTCTTATTAGAAATGTAGGAGAGCTGCTAGACCTATCATTCTTGGGCTTGGTATTTATCTAAAATATTATGTTTAATGGTATTTTAAAACAAAAACGTTTACTGTGTGTCGTTGTCCAACTCATCCAAAATGAGAACAAACGCCCATATAAGGAATATGGCTCCAGCTAGAGTCAGTCCACTCTTAATAAATCATCTAAGGGTTTTCCACCATGCGCCCAAATACACATACGATTTTAAGGTAGTAGTCTTTCAGTAAAAAAAATCCAAAATCAAATGTTTGTCGTCGTGTCATGGACTAAATGTGAAAACGTTCCAGCTGTATTGTCACATCCACAATCACTGTATAAAGAATAAATTGAGTTTCTTGATCACAGTTATAAATCCTGCCTTCCTAAATCGCATCGACACGCCATCCAAAAACGAAACCGCCTGGACCGCTACCGTATCCGGAACACTTTGAAACAATTCTTAAGGAAGCTTGGTAACTGCCCCGTGGACGCATGTACGCTCAAGATCAAATATCTCATTGAACTGGCCGCCATTGAACCATCTTTGGGGAGTGAGGTCTTCGAGGTGCACTCTAAGTCTGGATTCACTCATGTGCGAGTCAGCGGAGAATCAGGCATTGAGACAAAAGGAGAGGAGGATCCCAATCAACCAATGGTAAATCTCAGCAAAAATCCTCATTACAATACGTCTTTCAAGTGATACGTTTTTGATCTTGTTATGTTGTTTAGGAATGGAAGAGTGTTTGTGATTTTCAAGAGATCGTTGATGTCAGTGTCCAGCGAGTGTGTCTAGAGAACGCAGGCCAAGACAGCCGAGTGGTCACAATTACTCACAGCAACGACAGATTTTTGGTGACTAAAAACACATATAATGATGCTTTTTTAAACCCATCCATCGATCCATTTTCTTCCGCTTCATCTGTTGCCGGGTCGCAGGGCAGCAGTCTAAGCAGAGACGCCCAGACTTCCCTATACACACACACTTCCTCCAGCTCTTCCGGGGGGACCCCAAGGCATTCCCAGGCCAGCTGAGAGACATAGTCCCTCCAGCGTGTCCTTCCCCGGGGTCCCCAGGGAGGCGTCCAGGAGGCATCTGGAACAGATTCCCGAGCCACCTCAACTGGTTCCTCTCGACGTGGAGAAGCAGCGGCTCTACTCCGAGCTCCTCTTGTGTGACTGAGCTCCTCTCCCTATCTCTAAGGGAGCACCCAGCCACTCTGCGGAGGAAGCTCATTTCGGCCGCTCATGTCCGCGATCTCGTTCTTTCGGTCATTACCCAAAGCTCATGACCGTAGGTGAGAGAGGGAACGAAGATTGACCGGTAAATCAAGAGCTTTGCCTTTCGGCTCAGCCCCCTCTTCACCACGACGGTCCGATACAGCGACCGCATCACTGCGCACGCTGCACCGATCCGCCTGTCAATCTCACGCTCCATCCTTCCCTCACTCGTGAACAAGACCCCGAGATACTTGAACTCCTCCACTTGAGGAAGGACCTCTCCACCCACCTGGAGAGGGCAAGGCACCTTTTTCCGGTCGAGCACCATTGCCTCGGATTCGGAGGTGCTGATTCTCATCCCAGCCGCTTCACACTCGGCTGCAAACCGCCCCAGTGCATGTTGTAGGTCCTGGTTCGTTGGGGCCAACAGGACAACATCGTCCGCAAACAGCAGAGATGAAATCCTGTGGTCCCCGAACCGGACCCCCTCCGGCTCCTGGCTACGCCTAGAAATTCTGTCCATAAAAACAGTGAACAAACCCGGTGACAAAGGGCAGCCTTGGCGGAAGCCAACATGCACCGGGAACAGGTCTGACTTACTGCCGGCAATGCGAACGCAGCTCTGGCTCCGGTCATACAGGGACCACCTTGGTGACCTTAGCCAGGGAGATAGAAGTATCCGCCCCAACATCCTCAGCCTCTGCCTCCGGGACGAAGAACGTGACGGGGGGATTGAGGAGAACCTCAAAGTATTCCTTCCACCGCCCGACAATAGCTCTCTACCCGCACTATACACGGTGTTGGCAAAGAACTGCTTCCCCCTCTTGAGGCGCCGGACGGTTTGCAGAATCTCTTCCAGGCCGACCGATTGTCATGCTCCATGGACTCTCCAAACTCCATGGACTCTCCAAACTTCCTCCGCTTTTTTAAACTTCCTTTTAGCTGTGCAGCAGTGGTCTCCAACCTGTAGCTCGCCAACCCCTTCCAGCTAGCTCACCAAAGTATTTAGAAATGAACTAATTAAAAAAAATACTTAATATTCTAGCTCCTTCGCACCAATATATCGCCAAAGTTTTCCCAGTGCCGCTTAAAGTGGACATATTGTGTTTTCAAATAATTGATTTTTACATCTAAATCATTAATTTGTGGCCTATATAAAGCGTAACTACAATGCCTGGGTCTGAGTCTCATTATATGTAGCTCCACGGGCCTTTCTTCTACACCTGTTCTGAGGTGCGTCTGAGAGCAACCTGTTTTGGTGCTGTCTCTTTAAATGCAAATGAGGCGCTTTTGACCACGCCCCCTTCCAGGTGACACAGGTTCAACTCCACCCCGAGCGGCCATTTTTGTAGTTACTAAGCACAGATACAATTATCTCATAGAAACTTCTCATTACAACTCAAACATGAAGCAGGCCTTCCTCATTGACTGAAAGCAAATGTTAATTTTCATTCTTAGTCCAGTCTTATTATCAACTCTTCTCTTTTTAGCTTTGGGATCCATGCGCACAGTCTATGATGCTCACACGCCGGTTTGTTTACAACAGCGGCCGCCTGGCGCGGGCCTACGTGGCAGGATATGACGCACTACGTTGACAGAAATGTTTAAATTGAATATTACTTATGCACAATTTTACAGCATTTAAAAACGTTAAGAACGTTTTTGCTTCTACAGAAGGAAAGAGACGCATGCGCCTCCGGAGCCGCAGGTTCTCCTAGGACTCCTAGTTTATACAGTATGTGGAAGCAAATACTAGAGGATCAGGATATGTGCAGTTTCAACAATAAAATAGACAACACTATTGTTTGTTATAGGGATGAGAATTGGTCAAAAAAGACTGAAATGTATATTGTCAGCCATTTGCTGGCTCTAAATCTGTTTAATTTGTTCACAACATATTACTTTTGGGCTCAAACATGAACTTTTAATGCAATGCAAAATGTAGGTATCAGAGCTTTATTTAGGGCGTTTAATCGCGCTTCGAGGAGAGAGGGGAGACGCAGACTGTTTCCTGCAGCAGTGTATTTATTGGGTGCACAGATTACTCAAAGACACGCATGGTCCTGTGCGCGTTTATGGGGTTGGGTACATGGCCACGTTGAGGCTGCGCGCTCAGCCACAACACGGTTGGAAGGCGCTCATTACAAAGGGGCCGCAGAACATGTGGGCCGCAGAACATGTGTTTTGCATGAGGCAGACAGACCGGCCCAAATATGGGCATCGGCCCTTTAGGCATTGCCCGGTACGCCCGATGGCCAGTCCAGCCCTGTTCGCTGGCATCCTTGAGCTTGGAATACAAATTCGAAGTGATGCACAGTAGAGGAGGGCTGGGCCGAAGTGTTTTGTTAGACGCCCATGCCCTTATATAGTCTCTCTGCAAATACTGTGACGTAATAATTCTAAACACGTAATAGAGAATGGCAAAATCAGAACGGGTTGAAATATCTTACCTAAACAGAATATGAAGTGTTCTCTGCAACCCATGAAGAGACTGATTTCAACTTTTTTGCACTTCTGGAGGCTCCAACTACATAACATAAGGCATTTAAGGCACAAAGAGTGGATTTTTCATGATATGTCCCCTTTAAAGGAGTAGCTCTCTGCCTTTATCGTGCTAGGAAATAGCTCTCTAGGGGAAAAAGGTTGGAGACACCTGATGTACAGATAAAATCCCATTGTGTGTAATTTAATTCGTTCAATGTGTTTTTGCAGGAGGCCACATTTTCCAGTATCCATGAAGCTTTATCATTCGTGGCACTCATAGATGGATATTTCAGATTGACTACAGACTCCAGCCACTTCTTCTGTCAGGACGTCGCTCCACCAAGTGTTCTGGAAGGAATCAAGAATCACTGTCATGGACCCATTACGTGAGCTATGTCATGTTTTTTCAGTGAACTGTTGGGGGGAATCAAAGGGATAAAAATGTAATAATGATAATAATAATAATGCGGTTTTGAATAGCGTTTTTCTGGACACTCAAGGACCCTTCACATGTTATTCTTCTTTCACTCCAAACATGGTGGTAATAAAGGGGAGTCAACCGAGGTCACTGCAACCACTAAGATCCGACCTGGACGTACATGTAGGAAATAATACTCGACCGGAGTTTACAATGGCTAAGTCCAGGCAATAAAAAAACAAACAGGCAGTGGAGAACAAAAGACAAAATACAGTATGCAAAAAATACAAATGGAACGTTGGACTAAAACTCAAAGGACTAAAATGCGAGCGAGTGCATCTGGGGAAGAATGTCTCAGACTCTAGGATTATAAATTCAAGAGCCCCACAGGGCTGTGTTCTTTCTCCCCTGCTCTTCTCCCTGTACACCAACCACTGCACCTCCAGCCACGACTCCGTGAAGCTCATCAATTTCACAGACCACACCACCCTCATTGGACTCATCTCCAACAATGATGAGTCCGCCTACAGGAGGGAGGTGGACCGGCTGGTGTCCTGGTGCAGTGGTATCAACCTGGTGCTGAACGCCCAGAAGACAGTGGAGATGATTGTAGACTTCAGGAAGAGCACAGTCCCCCCGCCCCCACCCTCCGTCATGGACTCCCCCATCACCTCTGCAGTCCTTTCGTTTCCTGGGCACCACCATCACCCAGGATCTCAAGTGGGAGCCGACCATCAGCTCCCTCATCAAGAAGGCCCAGCAGAGGATGTACTTCCTGCGGCAGCTCAGGAAAGCCAAGCTGCCTGCACAGATGTTGGTGCAGTTCTACACGGCCATCATCGAGTCCATCCTCACCTCCTCCATCACCTCCTTTATGCTACTGTCACTTTACTGCACTCTACCGCACTCTTAACGGTCTATTGTGTGCACCTAGTGCACTGTATATAGTAAACTGAAGAAATGTATGCAGATTTTTATTGATGCCTTCTTGTTTTTATTCTGCTTTAACTTGAGAGACAAAGCAATTTCCTGTTACTCACATAAATAAAAAGATTCTGATTCTGATGCACTGACCGAGAATCTTTGATTACCTTGAAGTCTGAACCAGAGTTTGGAGTGCAGGGTCATGAGTGAATCAGATGCAGCGGATTAATCAGCCACGCCCCCATGTCACACACAAAACCTGAAAAACACAAACCCAACATAGAGTTTATTATGAGTCCGGTTGAGTCACAACTTTGTTTGACATCTTCTTTCGCTTAGACAATGGTTTGGGTGCAAGATGAGTTTAGGAACCATTTTGGTTTGGTGGCAAAGCAGAGAACACTTCACTGCTAGAAGGTCCTAGGTTCTATTCCACCTCTTTCTGTTCTCACTGTCACATAAAAAATACATTTATAAACATAATTTATTTCTTTGTAGTTTGCTGAGCTCCACTCTGGAGAATCCAAAATAGAACAGACATATTGGATCACGACATAGCAAAAGTTTTACTGAAACAGCGAGCGGTTCATTATTTGTTGCTATCTTGAAACCCAGATCCTTGTGTGGAACTCAGTGAAACGCCTCTGGTAGAGTATGACGGAGCTACAAGAGAGATCCTTGCTCCGTAACTGCCCCCAGGTCAATAACAAAACATTGACCCTTAATTTGTGATTTAGTTGTTTGGATTATTTGTTTTTTATCCTTTAATTATTTGTATTTGACAAGCTACTGCTGTTATTGCTTCCTTTAACCCAGTAAAAACATTTGTAATTCTGTAATTGCTGTCATTCAAACAGATCTGAGTTTGCGATGAATAAGTTAAAAAAGTCTGGATTTAAAAGTGGCGCGTTTCTCCTACGTCAGAGTCCCAAAAGTTATGACAACTACTTCCTGACCGTCTGCATTAAGGTTAATGTGTTTTTTTTTTAAATTGATAACCCATTTTACTGCAGGTTGTAGTTGTTGCCTCATCGTTGTTTGCTTTGTCTCTTTAGACCCCCCTTGGACTGGATTATAACGACTGTCTCATCATAAAGAATGAAACCTTCAGTCTTCCTGGAGTGCAAAAGTCCTTTTCCACTTTAAAGGAGCTCACAAGTTTTTACCAACACAATAGATTTCTTCTGGCTGACATTCCGCTCAAATTAGGCCAATGTTGTCCACCAAAACCTAAAGGTGAGTTTGAAGCTATAAAATAAATATTATAGTTAAAGATGCAGTCAGTGATTGTTTCCAGACGTATTTTTTTTAAATATTGTGGGAAAAACGTCCATAAACCCTAAAATTCGTCAAGTTATCATGTGTTTTCAAATAGTAATGGAATTGACCAGATACCTATAGTCTAGAAAAAATATTAGAACTTTTTTTTATTGGATTGGACTGATAAAAATAATCCAACGAACCAATGGGATGCGTTTACCCCCTTCACCCTCTTCCTGTTTTTCCGAGTGCACCTGAGTTTTTGGATTTTCTAAAACCTAAAATGGCTAAACAAAAAATGACTATTTCACATTTGCCGCCCACTTTCCCTTGGATGTTTGGTTTGGTGGAGAGGGAGGGGAGGGGGGTGTGGTTTGTTGGAGAGGGAGGAGAGGGGGGAATGGTTTGGTGGAGAGGCGAGGGGAGGGGGGAGTGGTTTGGTGGAGAGGGAGGGGAGGGGGGAATGGTTTGGTGGAGAGGGCAGTGGTTTGGTGGAGGGGAGGGGCCAGTGGTTTCCAGTTGGCGCTACGGCTAAGCTAACAAAATCGCTTACTGCACCTGCAACTAATACATTGTTAATATTATGCTTGTAATTTTTCAACAGAACTCACAAATCTAATCATTATTCGAGGCAACGCCTCAGTGGAGCAGGACTCCCCTCGTGCCGGCAGAAGCAAATTAAGTCATATCCAGTTTCACACGATCAAATACGAAGACCTAAAATGGGTGAGTTTGGTTTTTCAATCTTTTAACAACCACAAGAGCTGTCTGTATTGATTGGAGCTGAGATTGTTTTAGCGTACATTGTTCTCTCATTGCTTTAGGGCTTTAGGGAAATGGCCAAAGCATTATGTCCCGATAACATCCGGGATAATGATATCGTTCATTATATAAACAGCCTGGGAATCTAAAAGCTGCACCACTGAACGCTGATGTGTCTGACCACAGGTTTATGTTTGCTAATGACTAAAACACTTCTGCTCAGACGGCTCCTCTCCAGTCGGATGCTCTAATTGCTTGCTTGCAATTGACGTCACGTCCGCCTCATTACTTACGCGTATCATGAAGTGGTGGTCGCCGAGCTCGTTGTTCACTAGAGCAGCGTGTCTGAATAGGCCTTTTGCATGTGTTGTTTTAGGTTTTTCTAAGTGATCGAATCGTGAAACCAATAAAGAATACTTTAGGATTCCTCGTGAAGAGATTATTAAAGAGCCTCGTACTAAGGACTTTACGAAAAGATGCAGAGAAAAGTGGCTTGCTAACATTTCACTGGGAAACGCTTTTACATCGAAGGATTATTTATTTACCCAGCCATGCACTCACAATACGCAGTTATTCATTATTTTGATGAACTTTCAGGTATGAGTTGGCGTTTTAAATAAATACAGTGAATGTTTGACCTGAAAAGAACACAGCCACAGACGCATCGTTTTGTTGAGAATGACAAGTTCATATCAATCGTTACTTACACGGCTCTGTACAATGCAGGATTTGCACTTTAACTCTGAGTTCTTTAACCACAGACAGTTGTAGCATCCATGCTTTTCCAAGCCTTTGTTTGTTTAGCAAAAACTTGAGTGTAACACTAGATAGTTTGCAATATCTGGGAACTGAACTGGCGGGTATTTTTAACTTGCAAATCAAATCATTCTTGGATAACGCATTAGGATCTTTATCGTTACACAATTTGACTCTTTCGATGTATGGATCTCGAGAATCTAAAGTGAAGAAAAAGACAGTCTGCCAAACATGCAGTGGAAAAATACTGGCTTGTGCATATTGTTAGAACGATGAGTTTAACTTTAATACTCTGAAGAAGATTCACATTTTCTTCGCATATCAGCAGCAATTTGTGTTGGCCTGACACCACTTCATTCACCGGAAGTTGATGCGTCACGTGAGTGCAAGCCAAGAATTTCCACTGACATCTACATAACCTGATGTAGCTGATTAGATATTTGTCATTGCCTCTTTCTGTTCTCACTGTCACATAAAAAATACATTTATAAACATAATTTATTTCCTTGAAGTTCGCTGAGCTCCACACACGGATCTGGGATTTCTCAATAGCAGTGCTACTTCAACCACTCACATCAAAATCAACCCGTGACGAGAGCGACTCCGGAGAATCCAAAACAGAACAGACATATTTTATAAACTTTGGAGCTATAATGTCACTTGGTTCAGGTGTATTTACAGATGTGTCTATTGTTCTTAAGCAGAATATGAGCAGAATAAACATCAGTAATAAAATAATAACAGTAAAGTGACTATTGAAACAGAAATTACATCATTGTAGCTCCAAAGCAACTGTTTAAACAGAATCAGAATGATTTTTATTGCCACGTAAGTAACAGGAAGTCACAGACTTAGAAATTGCTTTGGCTCAGTGCAACAGTCAGAAAAAAGAGAATAGAGTAAGGCATACAGTAATAAATCAGCACACACTTCTAAGGAATAAAATTTAAAATAGGATAATTACAGTTACTATGTACAATTTGCAAGTGCACATGGTGCACACAATTCAGCTCCAGGTTGTTACCACTGCACCAGGACACCAGCCGGTCCACCTCCCTCCTGTAGGCGGACTCATCGTTGTTGAAGATGAGTCCAATGAGGGTGGTGTCGCCCGCGAACTTGAAGAGCTTCACGGAGTCGTGGCTGGAGGTGCAGTGGTTGGTGTACAGGGAGAAGAGTAGGGAAGAAAGAACACAACCCTGTGGGGCTCCTGTATTTATAATCCGAGAGTCCGGAACATTCTTCCCCAGACGCACTCGCTGCTTCCTGTCCGTCAGGAAGTCAGTGATCCACCTGCAGGTGGAATCAGGCACGTTGAGCTGGGAGAGCTTGTCCTGGAGCAGGGATGGCAGGATCGTGTTGAAGGCAGAGTCCACGAACAGGACCCTGGCGTAGGTCCCCGGGGAATCCAGATTCTGTAGGATGGAGTGGAGGGCCAGGTTAATGGCGTCGTCTACAGATCTGTTTGCTCTGTAGGCGAACTGCAGGGGATCCAGGAGGGGGGAGGTGAACGACTTGGGGTGGTGGAGGACGAGGCGCTCAAATGTCTTCATAACTACAGACGTCAGTGCCACAGGTCTGTAGTCATTGAGAGCTGTGATCCGGGTCTTCTTGGGAATGGGGACGATGGTGGAGGATTTGAGGCAGGTGGGGACATGGCAGGACTCCAGCGACGTGTTGAAGATGTCGGTGAAGACTGGGGACAGCTCCTTCGCGCAGTGTCTCAGGGTGGAGGGTGACATTCCATCCGGGCCGGCAGTACTGAGGAGGTGTAGCCTGGAGAATGTCGTTGTGTCTTGTCTGGGGCTATTGTCAGTGAGGGGAAAGGGGGGCAGAGGAGCTGAAGGGGGGAGGAGTCGAATGAGCAGTGGGGGGAGGTGTCAGGCGCGAGTTCGACCGTCACAACGCACGGACCTCTCGGCACGCACGAACGGACTGTTCAATAATGACGCACGGACTTGGCGGGAAAGTGAAAAGGGAGAAGCACGAGCGAAAAATCAACGCCCACAGGAGATTGATTCTGCTCATCCTTTCCTTGGGACGTTCGCGCGACAACCAATCAGAGAGCAGCAAAGTGGTCACGGGACATTAGTGGACTGAGCGAGCAGACTGAAAATACTCGTAAACAGCCAAAATTAGGAGCTACGCCAGGCTTCACCAGAACTCAAATCAGGGTTGACAATGGGGGACTCTGTGCTTGTGAAAATATGCGTTGTCATGCTCCCGTGACCTTATGCAACGGTGAAGAAGATGACAAAGTCTGGGATCGCGTCTTTTAATTCAGACAGAAGACATGTTTTATTGTCGATGGTAGAGACAGCACGAACAACACGAACAATAGAATGCAAGTGTATTATACAAAGCGGAGGCATGGAGACCTCCAATCAGCAGCTTCCACGGTGCCATGTAGCTTGGCCTTCAGATAGACAAAACAAGGGAAAAGTACTGGCTTCTGCACATTGATAGAATGATGAGTTTAACTTTAACAAAAGTTGCTTCAAAGTGTTATGAAATCTCACAACGGCTTTGAGTGTGTTCGCCGATGCGGAAATTCCGTTTAATAATATGAAAACACGTATGGCGCACCTTCTTGAACACATACTATTGTTATATAAAGCCCGTGGAATGTCTGTGAGCAAAGACACGCTCCAAAGCTGCATATTGGAGAAGATCTGTACGCAAGAAGCCACTAGCATAGCTCTGTTAGCATTAGAGCCGGCCGGCTACTTCCGGTACTTCTGGCTCGCGTCAGGACGTTCTGGTGTCAAGTTCTCTGCGTCTCAAAACTTGAGAATGCGCGTCTGGTGAGTGGGGCTTCCGCGTTTCAGCGTTGGCGGTCTGAAAGCCCCATTATACCCTCTGCTATCTCCCTCTTTGAACGTGGACTCTTTCAGTTTAGCAGAGTTTAGCAGTGAACCAGGGTTTGTCGTTGTTATAGATGACCCTGTCATTGTTGGGATAATGCTATCCTCACAGAAGTGAATGTATGAAGTCACAGTGTCAGTGTAGTGTAGTGGAAATTTAAATACTTCAATGAATGGATCTGAGAGAAAACAGCTTGTCTTTGTGCAATTTATTTAAAAGGTGATGAATAAACAAATACAATAAAACTCTGCAGAGTCAGACAGAAGCGACGCACACTCAAAGTCTGCGTCGTCTCTCTGGTCTGCTCACATCTAACATTTGGTAATATAGTCCTGCCAAAAGCTAGAACAAAGAACAAGACATGTCACAGTGAGGGTAAGTTGGGTTGAGTTATGCAGGAAGACGAGGTAAAAGAAGGGAGGGGAAAAGAATGATAGTATACCTGTCAAATATTTAACATTATAACGAGCAAAGGAGTGGTACATGGTACTGTCGCCTCTGCGAAGGTCATGTGAAAGTGAAGGCCTCTTTGTGCAGGACAAGCGGCCTTTGTCTGCAAATGAGTGAACTTTAGTACAATATATTCTAATATATGAAACTCGCCACAACAGTAGTCATCCAGACTATCTGTGGCAGCTCTGAAAATCTTCCAGTCTGTAGATTCCATGCATGCGCGCAGCTCCTCCACAGCCTCATCAGACCACACTTTGGAGCTCCTCACTACAGGTTTGGAGAGCTTCAATCTCTGTGTGTAAGCAGGAACCAGGTGGATCATGGAGTGGTCTGAGAAGCCGAGAGCTGTGCGTGGAACAGCGCGATAAGCTCCGCGCACAGTGGTGTAGCAGTGATCCAGGGTGTTCTCCTCTCCCATGTAATAATCTGTCTGTATTTGGGTAGTTCCTGGCCCAGGATAATAATCAGAGAGTCCGGGTATAAACGTTCCATACACAGTACTTGCTCTGCGAGTGCGCACTGATTCTCGCGCGCGTCCGCGCATGGCGGTATGTAAGCGGAGGCAAGAATGAATTAAACAAATTCACGTGGGGAATAGTATGGCTTGCAATGAATTAAAAGATATTCCAGAGCAGGAGAACAGTGCTTGGAGATCACTGTCACATCGTTACACCAGTTTGTATTAATGTAGAAGCAGAGTCCTCTCTGCAGCTCCAGAGCGGGATCTGCTCGTTTAGCCAGGTCTCAGCGAAGCAGAGCACACAGGATGAGGAAAAGTCTCTGTTCTTAGTCATCAGTAGGGAGAGTTCGTCCATCTTGTTGCCAAGTAAGCGAACGTTGGAAAGGAATATCCCGGGGAGTGCTGTGCGCGCACCCCTTCTCCTGAGACGCACCAACACATTGCCACGCTTTCCTTTCCTACGGGGTTTCACTTTTTTGGCTAAAACATGAGCCAAGTCGGCTGCAGACGCCAAGAAAACAGGCAGTAGGGAAATGGGAATGGTGGGTCTAATGTTCAGAAGCTCCTCACGTGTAGGAGCAGGCAGAGACGCTATTAAAGCAGAGAAAAAAGAAAGGGAGAGCGCACCAAAGAGCCGAGGCGACCGTGCGAGGCGTCATCTTGAGACAAACAGTTTCACATCACTCAATTATACCGGTATTTAACTCAACTCAACTCAGAGATTTTCCCAAGTGGAAAATTGTTTGTATGAGGTGGAGCAGTAAAAAAAATAACACCTGCATCCATCTTCTTCCCCTTAATCCATTTCTGGGTCGAGGGGGTGGCAGTCAGAGCACCAGCCCCTCACTGATTCTCTGAGTCCACAGGAACCTTGATTTTTCAGCAGGGGCTTCAGGCAAAGTGGGGCTAAGTGACATCATCAGTGGGAGTCGTGAAGTAGGTCTTGTGGTGGGCTTGAACCCACGATATTCAGGCTCTAAGGCCAATGCTCTACCAACTGAGCCACTGTCGCCCCAGAAATAACACAATACAACAATATTACACAAGATTAGCACAAATGGAACTTTAATGCAAGCCCTTTGTCATTTTGTATTTTTTATTTTATATAAATATATTTTCTTTTAGGAGGAAAGCCTTGGTCAAGGATCGTTCACTCGGATTTTCAAAGGCAGAAAAACTGACATCAATGAAGATAAAAAACATGTGACAGAAGTTCTACTCAAAGAACTAGACGTAGTTCACAAGAACTGTTGGGAAGTGAGTTAAGATTAAGAAATCCTTTATTACTGAGTCACTGAGTGATCTTTTTTTATAAATGTATTTATTTATTTATTCAAATGTTTTTCCTGTTTTTTTTTATCTGTAGTCATTCTTTGAAGCTGCCAGTCTGATGAGCCAGGTCTCTCACAAACACCTGCTCCTTGTTTATGGTGTCAGTGTTCATGGTCCAAAGAGTGAGTACAACCATGTGACCAGAAAGCATGCTTCATACATGTGCAGCACGTCTTAACTTTAGCAAACAGGTGTTTATGATGATGATGGTGATGATGATGATGGTGATGATGGTGATAATGATGATGATGATGATAATGATGATGATGATGATGATGATGATAATGTCAGGAATGAAACAGACAGAGACGGATCGTGGTGTGTCAGAGCACCGGAAGTTTATTAGGTTTCTCTCAGGTTCCAGTGGTTTCAATCTTTCCAGACAGAATAAAGACAGGACATGGTTTTATAGTCATTGTTACGCCACACATCGAAAGACAGTGTCACATCAGAGACACTCAGAGCATATCATAGTCATAACATGGATGCACAATCAGAGTCTGCGTAGTGTCTAGCGCTTGTCCTAACCCCAATAGCTATCTAATCCTCACAATAATGATGATAATGATGATGATGACGGTGATTACTATAATGATGATGATAATAATGATGACAGTAATGATAATGATGATGAGGATGATTATAATCATTACTGATTAATGATTACTATCATCATTATCATCATTTTAATCATTATTATTATCTTGATGATAGTCATGATTATTATAATAATGATGATGATGATGATGCTTGCTCAGAGTGCTGTGGTGCGTTGCAGACATAATGGTGCAGGAGTTTGTGAAGCACGGGGCCCTGGACCTGTACTTGAAGAGAGAGGTTTCTGTCTCAGTGAGCTGGAAACTGGACGCAGCCAAACAGCTAGCATCAGCATTACACTTTCTCGTGAGATAAATGTTTGAATACAAATAATTGTAAAGTACTTTTGTCGACATATTCAGTATAAATCTGAGAGATTCTTTTCTCTACAGGAGGAAAAGAATATTGTTCATGGAAATATCTGTGCCAAAAACATACTTTTGGAAAGAGAAGGAGACTCATCGCAGGGAAACTCCCCCTTCATCAAACTGAGTGATCCGGGCATTAGCGTGGCTACGCTAGGCCGAGACGGTAACAACACACACATCACATTCTCAGCTTCCTCGCTGCTTCAAAAAGAAAACATTTTCTACCTCACAGCCCAAACTCATTTTGATAAATAGATGTTTAAAAACTGAAGCAGGTTCTGACAAATGTTATCAATCAGCAAAAGAATAGATTTTGTTATAGATCAAATATTAGTATGACAGATTAGATCAGGTCTTTGAATGATCTACTCATACATTAATCAATACCATGCGTTTTGGTGATTAATAAATCCTTTTATTTGGCATATGCTTAATTCATGCAGACAGTTAGAAGCACAACACTTTGTAAATGGCCAAATCTTTAAAATACAAAGATTACACAATGAAGTCTAACTTAGTTTTTAAGTGTGAGGGGGCTGCAGAAAGTTCTTTTCTGATCGGCATCATACTGATGTCCATCACATTTTACCAGCGGTTAATCATAAGAACTTCTGAAGGTCACAGATAAAGATTAAACACAACATTTGTGTGTGTTTTCTTTGAGGAGGAGTCAAAGGGACATGTTTCTTAATACACTTTATGCACTACTTATTGATACTGTTTCTTGATTGCCACATTTTATTTTTCATTTAACATGTTTGCACATTTCTGTCTTTTGCACAACCTTGAGTGTTTCTATCCATGCCAGATGTGACATGTACATTTCTCCTGCGTGAGATCAATAAAGTCCATCTTATCTTATCTTATCTCTACATTTGGTCCATGGTTTTCATGTGGTTTGAACAGAAGAGAGAAGTATGATGCACCTCAGCCTCCCTCTCCACTGAGCCCTGTTAATAAATATCCTGATAGCTGTAAATGATTTAAAACACAGGAAATATCCGTGTAATGAATGACCTCAGACTGTAGACGGCTTCTCCTAAACCCGCCTTTCAACAGATCTATAAAACCTGCTCTGTGTTCGTTCTTTTGGCAGTGTGTGTGAAAAGTGTTGTGTCCACAGTTATTCTGGACCGGATTCCTTCGGTGGCTCCTGAAGTGGTGCAGACTCCAGAGAAACTCAGTCTGGAGTCAGACAAGTGGAGCTTTGGTGCCACATTGTGGGAAATCTTCAACAAAAAGGCTTCTATGAAAGGCTGGAGTTTAGAAAGAGTATTTATGTTATTTATTTTTACAAGCACAAACACACACGGGTCCAGGATATGAAAGAACAACAAATGATAACACATTCTGCTGCAACTATGTTTGAATAAAGAGTAATGCAGCGGTTTGCTAAAGAAGTAAAAAGAAATTAACATTCTTCAACAGTATGCATTAACTTAAGGACATATCCCAAGTGTATTTGAATGTGGTGAAGCCATATACTAACACTAACGCTCACTAAGGTGGTGGAGAAATTCTCAAGGTATTTTCTATTCTCAAAAAATGTATTGAATAAAAAAACAATGATCAGGATGATATGGGCTGCTGTGGCTCGTTATTTCATTATAAATAAATAAAATACAAATGAAGCAACCTGTGGGCACCAGCATTACTTCATGGCTGCATTTAAACAGAGCCTCTCAGTTTTTGCATCAAGCTACTGTTTGTGCAGCAACTCTCCTCTTCCCCCTTATCGCCTTTTCAGCAGAGAATTGTCATGTTACCGCCTCAGATTCCTTCACCACCAGAGTTTAGGCCCCGGGGGGTTACTAAACTCCCTCTTGCATGTTATTTCGGCTGGGATCTAAAACCTTAATTGCCAAACCATAATGAAATCAAACTTGAATCAAATGCCATAAACATATTAGTCCATGTTAGACCTCGTTGCGCGTCTGCGGCTCTAAATGTCTAATCTCGCAGCTACAAAACAGTTGTTCAAGCATGACAATATCATTCTAAAGCAATCTTTGTCTTGAGTTTTAATCTAAAGCTACTATTATTTGACCAAATGTCCAAAATGGCCTTTTTTCGTTCATGGAATAAAAACATTTAAGGTTTTTTCTTGCATGGGATCTGCAGTTATTGGCTAAATGAAACGTAAAACATTCAATGGAATGCAGTGGCAATGATTAAAAATGTATTGTCGATTATTATTAATTAATACTTTAAGTTGATTAAGATAAGTTTAAGATACGTTTATATACGGGAACCACTAACTGAATGAATGAAAAGATGCATAGTTAGAATATACAACAAACGTTAGAAGTAATGAGATGAGATGAGAGGTACTTATACTTACTTATCTCACGATGGAGAAATTCAGTAATATTTGTTTTACAGAAGCTTCAGTTTTATGAGTCCTTCCAGCAGCTGCCTCGCTCTCAGTGGGCAGAGTTGGCAGATCTGATCAACCAGTGCATGGATTACCAGGCAGACTTCAGGCCTTCATCACGGAGCATTATCCGGCAGCTCAACAGCCTCATCACATCAGGTACCTCTGTCATGTGCGCCACGCTTATTTTTTGCCTCGAAATGCTGTGGAAACCAATAATAATATGTCTTTTGCAGATTATGTGATACTTCATGCGTCAGAGTCGGTGTACCAGAACGCAGTTTGGAAGCTTCCCAACCCTCAGAACAACGACGTGTTTGAAGAGCGCCACCTTTGTTACCTCTCAATGCTGGGAAAGGTCATAAAACAATAAAACAAACCGGTTCTATTCAAACACACACATCATACTGGCCATGTGACAGTGATGCTGCAGTCAGAAAGAATGTGTGGAGATAAAAACAACAGAAGGTCGCTCCCCCATCATCTCTACTTCACTTAACAGGTTTCCCAAAGTTTTGATTTTTCATTAAAGGAGAAGTATGTAAAAATCTGGCCAAAAGTGGTACTGCAGCCTCTCACACTCTCCCTGACTCAGGTTCAGGGCTGGACTGGCCATCGGGCGTACCGGGCAATGCCAGAAGGGCCGATGCCCATATTTGGGCCGGTCTGTTTGCCTCATACAAAAAAAGTGTTTGTGAAAAGTGTAAATCCGTTGAGAACTGTTCGAGGGGGCGCGCGTGTCCGCGGGGCACCTGCTGTATGTACTCGAACGGGATTCCACCACCTCAGCGGCCGCAGTGTTTCGGCATCCAGCGGCTCTGAGCTGGACGCAGGAACCGCTCACCGGGAGCCGCTCACAACACAACACGGTGAGCGCGTAGCCGCAACGTGACCATGTACCCAAGACCATAAACGTGCACAGGACCATGCATGTCTTTGCGTAATTTGTGCACCCAATAAATACACCGCTGCAGGAAACAGTCCGCGTCTCCCCTATCCTCTCGAAGTGCGATTAAATTAAAGCTCGCGTACCTACATTTTCCATTGCATTAAAAGTTCATGTTTGAGCCCAAAAGTAAAATGTTGTGAACAAATTAAACAGATTTAGAGCCAGCCAATGGCTGACATTATGCATTTCAGTCTTTTTTGACCAATTCTCATGTCTGTGTCCACCTCCCTCACTCTGAGACATGTTTATTACTCTCTTGTAATGTAGACTATTGCACTTTTTTATTATTATTGCACTTCTAACCCACTTTTTTGTTGAAACTGTAGACATCCTGATCCTCTACAGTATGCTTCCACATACTGTATAAACCAGGGGTCGGCAACCTTGAGTGCTCCTCCAGTGGCTCCTGGAGCCTTTTCAAAAATGTCTGAAAATGGAGTGGGAGGGCTATTTTGGAGTGGGATTATATTTCTAGTTTGAATGTGGTTTCTGTAGGAGGAAAAACATTCCTAACGTATTTCAATGCTGTAAAAATGTGTATAAGTAATATTCAATTTCAACATTTCTGTCAACGTAGTGCGTCATATCCTGTGACGCAGCCCCGCGGCAGACGGCCGCTGCTGTAAACAAACCGGCGTGTGCGCACGGATCCCAAAGATAAAAAGAGAAAGAGTCGATAATAAGACTGGACTAAGGACAAGACTGAACATTTGCTTTTAGTCAATGAGGAAAGACTGCTTCATGTTTGCGATGTAATAGGAAGTTTTGTTGCAACACGAGGAACAATGAAGCACTAAATACCGTTCACAGGGATTACGTGAAGGATTCTTTCATACAAAATCCGGAGCTTTTTCAGACTTCAAAAACCTCCGCAAAGACTGTGAAAGAAAAGGCCATTAAGGACATTCAGCTCCAGCAAACTTCAGCCTGTGATGTAATTGATATGAGCGGACAGTGCAGGTGTTTGACCTTTGAGCCAAAAAGCAGATTTATTTACTGTATTTCTACAATTGCATGAAGGCAAAAAAATGGAAGTCAAAGTTAAAGCAGAGTCATTACGTGGTGCGTCATTCTCTCCAGGACACGCTGCAGTGAAAACACACATTTGATAATCATGAATGCTTATTATGTATTTGTAGCCTTTACTTGGTCATTTAGATATTAGGCTACTGTAGCTAATGCAGCTACATTGTGTAACCTTCATATAAGCTTTATACAAGGCTGTTATTTTTTTGCGGCTCCGGACAGATGTTTTTAGTTTTTTTTGTCAAATATGGCTCTTTGAACCTTTTGAGTTGCCGATCCCTGGTATAGACAAACTGTAAAAAACGTGACAAAAACATGCCTGGGCCGGTAAGAAGGAAAAAATGCCCGGGCCGTTTTTTTGTCCCAGCCCAGCCCTGCTCAGGTTGCCAGATATGCAGACAAATCCAGCTGGGACCATAACAGCTGAATAGACTGAAGAGTTTTGTCAACAACAGATCTATAACCAACACGTTTTTTTGCACGGGCCTGGGCCCGTGCCCGGCCCTGGCCCCAGGGGGTGGAGCACCAGCCCGGCCCGGTCCGACGGGTTTTCAGAATTCTCAGGCCCGAACCTAGCCTGGTCGTACCACACCATAGTATAATTTACATTTCGTTCTAAAGTCTGGAGGTGCTCCATTCAGCTCCGTTTACAGATAGGAGGGGTAAACTCCTTATGCAGATTGAAATCATTGGATCTGAGTTTACTGTAGTGCGCCCGAGTCTGTCGTTAGCATTTAGCATTTAGCCTAGCCATCTCCTTTGCCGCTAACGGAGCCCGTGGGGAGTAGCGCCACAATTTTTTCCAGCAATTACATTTGCTAAACATTCCTCTTGCACTGGCCTCAATTTCTTGATAGAACCAGACCGGATCGCATTTTTCGCCATTGCCAAACTACAGCCTGCCCGTTCAACGCAAACTCTTGAAATCACCCACAACTAACTATAACACCTGCCTTCCGCACTCGCTGATTTGTTGGTCAAAATTCAACCAATTCTAATCGCTAACATAGGGACCAGACCCAGACATTACATGCAGGGAAATGATGATTGAGCGAAGTGTACGGATGGCTAAGGCCAGGCTAGCCCGAACCCGTATCAAGCCCGACTTTTTTTTTTTTTTTTTTACCTCCCATAACAATGTTTTAGCGTAGTATATAGTGCCGCGCACTGATATGAACACAAGCCCGGCTAGAGGGCGGAGTTATACATGGTAGTGATGTGTTGCAATGAGTTCTGTGTGTACGGAGTGAACGGCCGCAGCTGTATGATACACAGCTGTATGATACACAGATGCCGCAATAAGTGTGTTACCTCCAAACACACTTGGAGGTAACACTATGTGTCGTCAATGACAATACTACACAGAACAACAAACACTACAGCGTAATAGAACGTGGGTGCGTTCATAAATGTAATCTGCTGCTCTGAAAATGAATAAATAAAAGTGCCCGACCTCGGCCCATGTCCGAGGTAATTATACGGTCATTGCCCGAAGGCCGGTCCTCGAGCTGTCGGGCCCCTCGGGCCTAGGGCTCAAGTGCAGGGTTTTATTTCTTGTTTTGTCGTTAATGATTTGAGAATCATAATGAGACCTTTATTAGTTCTGCGCCACATGGTACTTTACCAGTGAGATTAGCTCCATGCAGTTATTTCTGGCGCCCGGATCACAGACATTGGGCCTCATTCACGAACGGTTCTTAGGAACAGATTTGTACGTAAATCCTACTTACGCGGTTTTTACGAAGAAAGTGGCATTCACGAATATTTCTCGTAACCAGAATTTCTCTTGGGCAAGTGCAAATCCTACGAGTCCTCAGGAGCACTCGTACGCATTCAGTGCCGACATGTTCACACGCCGGGGTTGTCCTCTTTGGTGAAGTTGAATAAAAATACAACATTCCAGTGATATGTCCGTCATATCGATGTATGTATTTATTTATTTGTAGTAATCTTTATTAGTAATCTTTATTTATATACCGCCTTTTTCACTGCAGATCTGGCCTACTTTTTAATTCATTTTGAAATGAAATGTGCCAACGCTTTATCAAATACATTGGAAATCTTGCCGTGTATTAGTGACCCCTTCCTATTTATAGGGGGCATTTCTTTATCCACGGGCCACAGAACAACGGCATATATACTGCTGCTGCAGGAGGTTACTGGGTCCGCGCTGAGTCTCTGCGCTGGTCTCTCCTATGGATCTATACGGGTCTGCACTGGTCTCTCCCATGGATCTAGACGGGTCTGCACTGGTCTCTCCCATATACGGGTCTGCACTGGTCTCTCTCCATACGGGTCCGTGCTGCATGCTCCTGGATCCGGGTCCGCGCTGGTCTCTCAAGTCTGGTCTATGCGGTCTATCTTCGGTCCGCGCTGGTCTCTGCGCACCGGTCTCTCCAGTCAGGTCACTCCAGTCTATGCGGTCTCTCCTATAGGTCCGCGCTGGTTTCTGTGTGCTGGTCACTCCAGTCTCTCCTCGGGTCTGCATTGGTCTCAGCGCTGGTCCGCGCTGGATCTCCTCCCAGGGTCCAAAATATTTTGAGATTAATCTCAAAACATTTTGAGATTCATCTTTAAAATAATACATAATATATTTTTAAATTAAGCTCATAACATTTTGAGATTAATCTCATCATATTCTTAGATTAATCTCATAATTTTGCTAGTTCGACTTTATTATCATAATATTTCGACTTTTAAGTCAACATTTTATAACTTTATTCTCAGTCTGGTAAAAGAAGAAAAAAGGGTGACTCTTTTGCTCTGTGTAGCTCTTTGCTTTAGGCCTGTTGCTGTTTCCTCAGCCGTCTGCACACGGCCCTGCAGTCCCTTATATGGGCATTAGTGGGCGGTTACTTATGCTAAGTACCTATGCTAATGAAGCACCTGGCACGCGCGCTGTACTTACGAGGAAATGGGATTCATCAATCTGAGAGAACAGCTGCGAACAATTCAGCGGCTTACGAGTGCGTTGATGAATCCCACGTGGGGACTTCTTAGAAATCTACTTAAGGACAACTTGAGAAGAAAGTTGAGTAGTTTCTTACGAAGTTATTCGTGAATGAGGCCCATTGTGATTGGTGAAACGGTGGGGGGCGGGACATCGAAATGAAAACAATAACAAGATATAGAGGCGGGAAAAGTAATTTTGAAATTCAAATATCTCTGAACTACTGTTATCAGTTAAAGAAGTATTGGAAAAGAACAGTTTATTATTATGGCAGATTAGGGCCCTTTAATGATAACGTGACATGAAAATCTTACTCATTGCTACTTTAACAAACTGAAGTACAGATGATGGTGAGCAACCTCCCTCTGTTTTTAATAATCCCTGTACAACTGAGAGTTTATACAAACTTAATATGTCTTTAAACCATATTTAAAACAGAAAAGACCATATGATATTGACTCATATGGTATTATTAAAAAAGACTAACTAAGTAGTGCAGCACATGTTTTATTATGAATTTGAAGATTTTGAAATCATCAATGACATAATATAATAATGAATTATAAAACGTTGTACTTTGTAGGGGAACTTTGGCAGCGTCGAGCTCTGTCGCTACGACCCGTTAGGAGACAACACCGGGGAACTGGTGGCTGTGAAGAAGCTGCAGCCGAACAAACAGTCCACCTCAGAAGATTTTCATAAAGAAGTCAATACTCTCAGCTCATTGAACTGTGATTATATCGTCAAGTACCGAGGAATCTGTTACGGCGCAGGTAAAAACACCAAAACACTGTTTCTTTCCACATTTAGCCACAACATGATTCCATCTGGGTTTAGAGCAGTCCACCAGAGGCAGGGCAAAATCCAGCATCAGTCTGTTTGCTTTCTATAAATAGTAGTTTCACTACCTCTGGGACTTTCAGTGTGTTATCACTCATGTGAACAATGAAACCTTTTATTTACTGTGAGGAGGCGGCTTGATTTGTTCAATCTGAAATGTCATCAACCAAAGGTGTTCTATTGTTCAGGTCGCCTGACTATGAGCCTGGTGATGGAGTACCTGCCCTACGGAAGCTTAATAAGCTACTTAGAGAATTACTGTGACAAGGTCAACACCAGAAGGCTGCTGCTTTTTGCCTCTCAGATCTGTAAGGTACAGGCTTTCAACCCACAACCAACACCTGATGCATAGTGTAAACATCCAGGACACTCTAGAAAAAGAGATGATTAATCTCAATGTTAAATAGAAAAAGAAAAAAAATACATCCCATTCATGAATTTCAGTTGAAATAATTCTGTTTTTTGATTGTAGGGCATGAAGTTTCTTCAGGTCAAACGTTATGTCCATCGTGATCTTGCAGCCAGAAACATCCTCGTTGCAGACCACTCGAGAGTGAAGATAGCGGATTTTGGTCTTACAAAAGTCATCCCCTTTGATAAAGAATATTACAGAGTCACACAACCTGGAGAAAGCCCAATCTTCTGGTAACAAACTAAAACAATCCAAACTGTGCATAGCCTGTGCTCAGTGATGTGTCTGTAGGTACACATAGCCTGTTCTCAGTGATGTGTCTGTAGGTACACATAGCCTGTTCTCAGTGATGTGTCTGTAGGTACACATAGCCTGTTCTCAGTGATGTGTCTGTAGGTACACATAGCCTGTTCTCAGTGATGTGTCTGTAGGTACACATAGCCTGTTCTCAGTGATGTGTCTGTAGGTACACATAGCCTGTTCTCAGTGATGTGTCTGTAGGTACACATAGCCTGTTCTCAGTGATGTGTCTGTAGGTACACATAGCCTGTTCTCAGTGATGTGTCTGTAGGTACACATAGCCTGTTCTCAGTGATGTGTCTGTAGGTACACATAGCCTGTTCTCAGTGATGTGTCTGTAGGTACACATAGCCTGTGCTCAGCGATGTGTCTGTAGGTACACATAGCCTGTTCTCAGTGATGTGTCTGTAGGTACACATAGCCTGTTCTCAGTGATGTGTCTGTAGGTACACATAGCCTGTGCTCAGCGATGTGTCTGTAGGTACACATAGCCTGTTCTCAGTGATGTGTCTGTAGGTACACATAGCCTGTGCTGAGTGATGTGTCTGTAGGTACACATAGCCTGTGCTGAGTGATGTGTCTGTAGGTACGCGCCCGAGTCCATCACAGAATTCATATTCTCCTCCAAGTCGGACGTGTGGAGTTTTGGAGTTCTTCTTCACGAGCTCTTTTCCTTCTGCAATACAAACCTGAATCCAAAAAGAGTAAATATGCATTTCACTTTCCCTCGCATTTCATCATGCTTTCCTATAAAAATAAAATGTACTTTTTTGTTATCACTTCAGCTGTGTATGCAGGAAATTGGACACGGAGTCCAGGGACCGTCAATCTCAATGCATCTGGCAAATATTCTGAAGAATGGATGGAGACTTCCTGCTCCACTGCATTGTCCAACACAGGTATACAATATACAGTGGGGGAAAAAAGTATTTAGTCAGAATCAGAATTCACAGACTTGGATATTGCTTTGGCTCAGTGCAACAGTCAGAAAAAGATAATAAAAAAAATATAAAGAATAAAAAAACACTTGTAAGGAATACATTTAAATTTAAAATAGAGTTACAGTTACTATTTACAATATACAAGTGCACATGGTGCACACAATGTAAGGTGACAGCAGTACAGTGAAGTAAAGTGACGTATGATGGGCAGTAAAGTGACTTTATAAAGGGCGGGGGGACAGGTTAAGAGGTTAAAAAGTGTTCAAGAGTCCAACAGCAGAGGGGAAGAAACTGTTCTTGTGGCGGGAGGTTCTAGTCCTGATGGACCGCAGTCTCCTGCCTGAGGGGAGTGGTTGGAATAGTCCATGTGCAGGGTGAGAGGGGTCGGCTGTGATACGACCAGCCCGGGCTCGAGCTTGGGCGACATACAGGTCCTGCAGCGATGGAAGGCTGCGGCCAATCACTTCCTCTGCAGAGCGCACAATGCGCTGTAGTCTCTGTTTGTCCCTGACTGTGGCTCCAGCGAACCACACGGTGATGGAGGAGGTGAGGATGGACTCGATGATGGCCGTGTAGAACTGCACCAACATCTGTGCAGGCAGCTTGGCTTTCCTGAGGTGCCGCAGGAAGTAAATCCTCTGCTAGGCCTTCTTGATGAGGGAGCTGATGGACGGCTCCCACTTGAGGTCCTGGGTGATGGTGGTGCCCAGGAAACGGAAGGACTCCACAGAGGTGATGGGGGAATCCATCACGGAGGGTGGGGCGGGGGGACAGTGCTCTTCCTGAAGTCCACAATCATCTCCACTGTCTTCTTGGCGTTCAGCTCCAGGTTGTTACCACTGCACCAGGACACCAGCCGGTCCACCTCCATCCTGTAGGCGGACTCATCGTTGTTGGAGATGAGTCCAATGAGGGTGGTGTCATCCGCGAACTTGAGCAGCTTCACGGAGTCGTGGCTGGAGGTGCAGTGGTTGGTGTACAGGGGGAAGAGCAGGGGAGAAAGAACACAGCCCTGTGGGGCTCCTGTATTTATAATCCGAGAGTCCGAGACATTCTTCCCCAGACGTACTCGCTGCTTCCTGTCCGTGAGGAAGTCAGTGATCCACCTGCAGGTGGAATCGGGCACGTTGAGCTGGGAGAGCTTGTCCTGGAGCAGGGATGGCAGGATCGTGTTGAAGGCAGAGCTGAAGTCCATGAACAGGACCCTGGCGTAGGTCCCCGGGGAGTCCAGGTGCTGTAGGATGTGGTGGAGGGCCAGGTTGATGGCGTCGTCTACAGATCTGTTGGCTCTGTAGGTGAACTGCAGGGGGTCCAGGAGGGGGGAGGTGAGGGACTTGAGATGGGAGAGGACCAGACGTTCAAATGACTTCATGAGCCAGCCACCAATTGTGCTAGTTCTCCCACTTAAAATAATGACAGAGGTCTGTAATTTTCATCATAGGTTCACTTCAACTGTGAGAGACAGAATATGAAAAAAAATCCAGGAATTCACATTGTAGGATTTTTAAAGAATTTATTTGTAAATGATGGTGGAAAATAAGTATTTGGTCACTTCAAACAAGGAAGATCTCTGGCTCTCACAGACCTATAACTTCTTCTTTAAGAAGATCTTCTGTCCTCCACTCGTTACCTGTATTAATGGTACCTGTTTGAACTCCTTATCTGTATAAAAGACACCTGTCCACAGCCTCAAACAGTCAGACTTCAAACCCCACTATGGCCAAGACCTGTATGGCCAAGAGCTGTCGGAGGGACACCAGGAAAAGAATTGTAGACCTACACCAGACTGGGAAGAGTGAATCTACAATAGGCAAGCAACTTGGTGTGAACAAATCAACTGTGGGAGCAATTATCAGAAAATGGAAGACATACAAGACCACAGATAATCTCCCTTGATCGCAAGATCTCATCCCGTGGGGTCAAAATGATCATGAGAATCATGAGATCAAAAATCCCAGAACCACACGGGGGGACCTGGTGAATGACCTGCAGAGAGCTGGGACCAAAGTAACAAAGGTTACCATCAGTAACACACTACCACGACGGGGAATCAAATCCTGCAGTGCCAGACGCGTACTGAAGCCAGTGCATGTCCAGGCCCGTCTGAAGTTTGCCGGAGAGCACATGGATGATACAGCAGAGGATTTGGAGAATGTCATGTGGTCAGATGAAACCAAAGTAGAACTATTTGGTACAAACTCAACTCGTCGTGTTTGGATACTGAGTTGCATCCCAAGAACACCATACCTACTGTGAAGCAAGGGGGTGGAAACGTCATGCTATAGGGTTGTTTTTCTGCTAAGAGGACAGGACGACTGATCCGTGTTGAGGAAAGAATGAATGGGGCCATGTATCGTGAGATTTTGAGCCAAAACCTCCTTCCATCAGTGAGAGCTTTGAAGATGAAACGTGGCTGGGTCTTCCAGCATGACAATGATCCCAAACACACCGCCTGGGCAACGAAGGAGTGGCTCCGTAAGAAGCATTTGAAAGTCCTGGATTTGCCTAGCCAGTCTCCAGACCTCAACCCCATTGAAAATAAGCGGAGGGAGTTGAAAGTCCGTATTCACTGCTCTCAAGAAGATCTGCATGGAGGAAGGCAAGGCAAGGCAAGGCAAGTTTATTTGTATAGCACAATTCATACACAAGGCAACTCAAAGTGCTGAACAAGATGCATTAAAATCATAAATAATTACAGAACATTAAAACGAAAGATAAAAATATAAAATCCCTCAGTTGTATGCACAGCTAAACAGCACCGTTTTTAACCTGGTTTTAAACATTGTCAGAGAGGAGGCCTGTCTCACATCTTCAGGAAGATTGTTCCAGATTTTAGCAGCATGAATCTGAAAAGCAGCCTCCCCATGTTTAGTTCTGACTCTGGGCACTAACAGGAGTCCAGTCCCTGTGCTCCTCAGAGTCCGGGCTGGTTCATATGGGACTAACATGTCACTAATATAGTTTGGTGCGAGGCCATGGAGAGACTTGTATACAAGCAGAGCTGTTTTAAAGTCTATTCTCTGAGCCACAGGAAGCCAGTGCAGGGACCTGAGGACTGGACTAATGTGGTCGTACTTCCTGGTTCTAGTCAGGACTCGAGCTGCTGCATTTTGAATGTACTGCAGCTGTTTTACAGCCTGTTTGGACAGACCTGTGAGCAGGCCATTGCAGTAGTCTAACCTACTGGAGACAAATGCATGGATAAGAATCTCCAGGTCTGCTTTACACACTATGTTTTTGATCCTGGCAATGTTTTTTAGATGGTAAAAAGCTGCTGATGTTACTGATTTGATGTGGCTATTAAAATTTAAGTCTGAGTCCAGTATTACCCCTAGATTTCTGACCTTGTTTGAAGGTTTTAGGGAGAGAGACTGTAGATGACAGATGACGCTCTTTGTTTCTGGGGACCAAAGACAATCATTTCAGTTTTGTCTGCGTTTAGCTGAAGGAAGTTGTTTTGCATCCACTCACTGATCTGTTGGATACAGTGAAGGAGTGAGTCCACTGGTCCATGTTCTCCTGCAGTCAGTGAGACATAGATCTGAGTGTCGTCTGCATAGTTATGATAGGAAACTTTGTTTCTGCGTATTAACTGACCTAACGGCAGCATGTAGAGATTGAACAGAAGAGGTCCCAGGATCGACCCCTGTGGGACTCCACAGGTCAGGGCCATATGATCTGAGACACAGTTTCCAATCTCCACAAAGTACTTCCTGTCTTCAAGGTAAGACCTAAACCAACTTAGGGCGGAGCCAGCGACGCCAACCCAGTCCTCTAGTCTCTGTAAGAGGATCTCATGGTCGACAGTGTCAAAGGCAGCACTTAGATCTAACAGGATTAGGATTGAGACTTTGCCTGCGTCAGTGTTCAGCCGGATATCATTTGTAACCTTGACGAGAGCAGTCTCAGTGCTGTGGTGGGGTCTAAAGCCGGACTGAAACATATCAAATGAGTTGTTGATTATAAGAAATCTAGTAAGCTGTAGGTAGACAACTTTTTCAAGGACTTTCCCCATAAATGGCAGATTTGAGATGGGACGATAGTTGTTAAGTACCGTAGCATCCAGACTGCTCTTTTTTAGCAGGGGCCTGATGACTGCAGTTTTCAGGGCCTTTGGGAATATTCCAGAATCAAGGGACATGTTTGCTATCTGTGTGAGTGAAGGTAACAGACTGCTCAGAACAGACTTTAGAAATATAGTGGGTAGTACATCCAGGCTGCATGTGGAGGAGCTCAAACTGGAGATTATCTCTTGGACAGTTTGATCATTTACAGGTGCAAAGTAAGTTAGCTCAAAGAGCCTTTCTGGCTGTTGGATTGTTATCTGTGGATTGGAGACAATGGCGTTTTTGATGCCTTGAACCTTGTCATTGAAAAAATGTGCAAACTCATTACATTTACGTTTGGAAGTTAGCTCTAATGGCATTTGAACAGGGGGGTTTGTTAATCTATTAACTGTTAAAAACAGAACACGCAGATTGTTGCTGCAGCCTTCAATCATTTCAGAAAAATACCTTTCTCTCGTACTACGTAGCACCTGGTTAAACTCGCACAACTTATCTTTGAAGATCTTGTAATCAACCTGGAGGTTGGACTTGCGCCACTTCCGCTCGGCCCTCCGGCACTCTCTCTTTTGTGCCCTGACCGAGTCTGCTTTAGCCCACGGCGCCTTCTGCTTATTTTTCACTATTTTAACCTTCACAGGAGCGATGGTGTCCAGAACTTTCAAAACACTAGAGGTGACAGAGTTAAACAGTTCATCTACAGTAGAATATGATGCATTCTCAAAGTTTATCATTCCCATAAATAGTTCACCCGTATTTTCATTTATGTGTCTTCTTCGTACAGTTGCAGAGTCCACTGGTGGTTTGTTAGTGAAACACATGTCAAAAAATATACAAAAATTATCCGAAAGCGCAACATGGACCACGTTTACATTATAAATGTTCGCCCCCTTTGTAACTAACAGGTCTAGAGTGTGCCCTCTGCTGTGGGTGGGGCCACTCACATGCTGAGTGAGACCAAAAGATTCAAGAAGAGAACTCAGCTCTTTAGCATTTCTGTCATCAACATTATCCACATGAATATTAAAATCACCTGTAATAACTAAACTATCAAAATCTGTGCATACAACTGAAAGCAACTCTGTAAAATTATCAATAAAACTGTGACATGACTGCGGTGGCTTGTATAGGACAACGAAAAGTATTGGAGGAGATTGTTTTTGTTGTATTTTAAAAGACACATATTCAAAAGACGGAAACTTCCCAAGAGACATTCTATAGGAGACAAAGTGGTCTCTGAAAATGGCAGCTAAGCCTCCTCCTTTTTTGTTTTCCCGTATTTCAGATTCAAATTTGAAATTTGGTGGTGATGCTTCTATTAAAACTGCATTTTCTGTATTTTGGTCAAGCCATGTTTCAGCCATGAACATAAGATCTAGATTATAAGAACAAATAAAATTATTGATTAAAAAAGACTTGTTACAAAGAGATCTGACATTTAGCATAGCAAGTTTAAAAGTTTCAGGATCAACGGTTGTGGTCGGCTGATTCTTACACGGAACAAGAATTAGATTTTCCTGATTAGACTGATTAACTTCAGATGTTTTTCTGTTATGTATTCTTTGTGTTATCACTAAGGGAATGGCACAGGTGGCTTCACGACAGGGCCCCAGCCGGGTCTCTCCCCTAACTAGACTGCCAGTGGCTGCGAAGCAGAGACCCTGTGCATCCTAGTGTTTAGAGAAAAGAGGGGAAGGGGAAGGCGGGGGAAGAGGATGGAGAGGCGGGTGGTTCTTGGGAGTTGGACGGGGAGGGGTTGAAGGTGGATGGGTTTTTGGTGATGGGTTAGGGGAGGGGCAGGCTGAGTTGGGTGGTGGACGAGGGGGGAGTGGAGGTGGAGGGTTTCTTGGTGCTGAGTTAGGGGGGAGGTGGGCTAAATGAGCAGGAGGGGGGGGGTGGAATACTTATGGGGTTAGAGGAGGGACGGGTGGATTTTGTGGGAGAATTTGAGTTGGACGCCCTAGGTGGCTTTGGAGGTATGTATGGGGAGTAGTTTTGAATGTTAGATAGGACTCTTGATCTGGCTACAGTGGGTGTGAGAGGAATAGTCTTCATCGCCGATCTTATCATGCCTGCAGAGTGTTCCGGTAAATCCAGTAGTGAAGGCGGGGATAGAAAACAAAGGGAAAGGCCGTCCTCATTTTCCCTAGATGGAGTGCATGTAGCGGGGGGACCCAAGCCGGGTCCATGGAAGGTGATGAGGGAGTCTTTGGTGGAGACAGAGGTGGTTGAGGAACCCCCAGTACAGGCCTGACTGTAGCCTGGAGTAACGGGGGAAGCTTCACGGGAGCTGTAGGTGGGGAAGGTGCTGCTGAAGATGATGGAGCAGCCACTGCTGCTGCTGTATCCACTGCTGCTGGTGGTGCTGTATATGCTGATGGCGCTGATGAAGATGTGGCAGCTGCTGATGATGCTGGGGGTGGAGGCGTTGAGCTCTTTCGGAGCCGTGGAGGTGTTGAGTTCTTTTGGAACCTTGGAGGTGTTGAGTTCTTCTTGAATCGTGAAGATGTGGAGTTCTTTTGAGGCGGTGGGGGTGCAGAGACCTCGGGAGTCGGTGGAGATGGTTGTGATGTCTGTGCCCTTTGCTTCTTCTTTCTCCCTTTCAACGGCTGCACGCGCTGCGCAGGCTGAGGTCTTAGGGCAGATGCAAAGTTATCCATCAACACTTTTACTCCGTAGTTGTTCAGATGTGGACCTTTTTCTTCAAAAAGCTCGTGCCTATTCCAGAACAGATTAAAGTTTTCAATGAAGCCAAGTCCTCTGCGTGAACACTCATTGAGTAGGAATGTATTTAGCTGATACAGACGGCTAAACGTCTCCATTTTTCCATCTATATTTGGAAGTGGGCCACTAAGAAAAATGTTTATGTCCATTTTCTTGAGGTCATCCAGTAACAGCGTTAAATCCATTCGTAACTTCTCGCTTGCCTTCTCATAGATATCTACCGCCCCCGTGTGGATCAATAATGTACGCACACCACTGTTCTCAGATAACACTTTAGGCAGAAGAGTCCTTATCTCAGCAACTTTTGCAGAGTGAACTGAGACAGTGAGCATGGACTCCATGTTTACATTTTTCACCGAACCATCTCCGATAAGGACACAGTTTGTCCTTGGTGGGGGCGCTGCAGTTTTTAGCGGCTTTGTGTTTTCAGAAAGGGGTAAAAAGCGGTTTGAAGTCTTCAGAACATTTAGTTGTGGCCTTATTTCACTCCTATTGTCATTCTTAGCTTTGTCAACTTTGGGTTTAGCTCCACAATTGTTCCAATAATTCTCATTGTTGATTTTGGGAAAAGAAATGACGTCATAACTTACATTTCCAGTCCGTCCATTCATCCCATTTTCACTCATTGGAAGAGTCGGGTTTAGTCCCATTTCTGTTTCCACAATAGATATCCGTGTCTGAAGAGATTTGAGCTGATTTTCCAGAGCACAACAGCCGCCGCAGACGCTTCTCCGTCTCTTTCGTCCCGACATGACTAAAGTTGATAAATTCCACAAAGCTGAAGTGTGTAGAAGGAGTAATCCTCGTTTTGTAAATAAAATGATTAAAGAAGAAACAAAAAATGTAAATAAAATGATTCAAGGAGATTAAAAGGCGAAGCAAAAGCAGAGCAGAGCAGAGAGACACGACTGCTCTCTCCAGAAGCAGTTAAATGGGCCAAAATACCAGCTACTGTGTGCAAACCTTGCCTGGCCTGCCAGACACTCCTCCTTTCTGTTCAAAAGAAGAACCGTCTGGACACCTCTTCCTAGCCTATCATTTCACGATTTTACCCACATCGGTCCAATCACGCACCGAGAGGCGGGACTTCCTTTCACCTTTGAGTTGCTAATAACTCCTCGTATCTTTAAGTTTTTGTTACAAAATCGACAGCAGTCGTTTACATTTGCACTAGCTGACATGCCGCCATCCCTTGTTTTGTGTTTACTGAAACGGCTTGGGTGCCGCTAGTTGCTGCGTCATATCCTGTGTGCATCTAATTGGTTGATGCAGTCTGTCAACCACGCCCACCGGGAATTCGCTGAGATCAAGCTCGTTCCCAGACTATATGTCTTTGAAAAAGCATATCGTTTGGCAGGCCAGGCAAGTGCAAACCTGGTAAAGACCTATAATAATCGTTTGACCTCTGTTATTGCCAACAAAGGTTATATTACAAAGTATTGAGTTGAATTTTTGTTATTGACCAAATACTTATTTTCCACCATAATTTACAAATAAATTCTTTAAAAATCCTACAATGTGAATTCCTGGATTTTTTTTTCCACATTCTGTCTCTCACAGTTGAAGTGTCCCTATGATGAAAATTACAGACCTCTGTCACTATTTTAAGTGGGAGAACTTGCACAATAGGTGGCTGACTAAATACTTTTTTGCCCCACTGTATATATATATATATATATATATATATTTATATATACTATGATTAAATTAAGATAATAAAATAAAAGTGCTGGGTAATAACAAACTAAAAATTCAAACGAAACTCTGAAACATAGACAAACTGGAAAAGCAACAAGGGGAGAGGAGCACAGGTACATATAGACACAGAGACATACAGACAGACACAGGTACATATAGAGACATGTACATATAGACAAAGAGACACAGGTGAAACACATCAGGGAGGGACAAACAATCAACACGTGACAGAAGTCAAACAAAATCAAAGAACTGAAGTCAAAATAAAACCAAGTATAAAAATAAAATCCACACCATGACAGTGTGGGCCCCTGATATACAACATCATACAATGGCATTTTATCTCTTAATAATAATATTAAGGGAGCCACTTTGTGCGGTCTACAGGAAACACAGTCTGCCGCTCAATGAAACCCAGCTGATCTACTTTAAGTTAAAGTAAAGCAGTAAATATTATTTCACCTTTTGTATCCACGTAATGCAACCACAGATATGCTGTTTGTAATCGTAGGCCCCTAATTTGAAATACATTGTTGAGTGCTCACTGTTGAAGAGTGGAGATGACAGATTATAATAATGTTTTGTATTGTTTAGGAACAGATCAGAAAAAAAAACCTAATCTTTACTGAATTATGTCTTGCAGGTCTACAGTCTGATGAAGAAGTGTTGGCTGTATCTATCTGAAGATCGGCCTGTTTTCTCTAGTTTAGAAGAACAGATAGAAACTCTGATGCAAGAAGAGAGATAAACTCCACACAGCGTCTCAGCTTATGACTAAAATATCATATTGGTGCTATGACTGTTCATAGCATCGAGGTTCATGAGGCCTGGACCTCGGGCCTCTGAATTCATAATTCTTGTATTATTTGTTCTGTTGCATTTGCAGGGTTGCGAGATAGGGAGGTTTTACGCCTAATTTGGCACTTTTGCATTCTATTTTTTGAGCAAAAATGGATTTGGGCCGGATGGATAAAAATTGGGCTGGTTTCAGACATATATATAAATAAAGATTACTTACTACTTACTACTGTCAATGGTAGAGACAGCACGAACAAAACACACGAACACAGATACAACAGAATGCAAGTGTATTATACAGAGCGGAGGCATGGAGACCTCCAATCAGCAGCTGCCACGGTGCCAGTAGAGATAGTCAAAACATGAAGTGGAAAAGTACAGGCTTCTGCACATTGATAGAATGATGAGTTTAACCTTAACAAAAGTTGCTTAAAAGTGTTATGAAATCTCACAAGAATCTAAAATGCGGATGTTTAGATCCCTCTTCCTGTGACACTGACTCACTCAGACACAGACACAGTGTGGATAGGGGGAGGGGGAGGCATTTAGAGTGTGGCACCTTCTAGAAGGAGCACTCTCAAATACAACAAAGCACATCGAGTGACCTCTATGTATGAAATGCGCTATATAAATAAACTTGACTTGAGGCAAATATAAGTACATTATTAAAGCTTTATTATTATTACTTTATTATTGTATTCATTACGAAAATTCAATCCATATCCATGCAGTGCATTGGGATATACGTCCTTTTGTAGAAAAAGTAGCACTGTTTTGTGCTGGCGTGTCATTATATTTTACATCGAGTTTTCCTGCAACAAGGAAGAGAATTCTTTTTGAGCCCAGATTGTGACCAATCACAGCGCACCACTGGCCCCCACTTTCTTGAGAAAAGCTACAAGTCTCTCATTAGCGCGCACAGACAGCGGAGGCGGCGGAGGCTAACCTGAAGCTTCCTGTGTCTTTGTTACCGGTTACTGCTTACTCAGCGAAACAGTCAAAAGAAAGTCTCGTTCCTCCGCGCTTCCCGGTTCAATCATTCTATGGTCACGCCATCCACGTTCAAATGTGCGATCCATATTGTGAGACGTGAGCTCCGTAAACACATGAGCACAGGCTGAGTGGGAGGGTAGTGGGGAGTGATAGCTTCGTGTGTGCGGGGAGGGCGAGCAGAAAGAGCGAGGCCAGTGTTCACATTAGAAAATTTCACAAAGTGAGTTAGTGCAGCTTTAAACTCAAAGGTGGTTCCTACAGAGCGTAGTTGATATTGTCAAGATCACGTTTATCGTATATTTGTCAAAGTTGATCACATTACTTTCCATTACATTAGCCAAGGTTTGTCTAGCTTACTTTTCAAACATTACATTACACGTTTAAACATGAAACGAGCCAAAACCATTTTTGGACATTATTTTGGGCATTCCTGCAGGTGTTTTGGCTTGAAAATCCCTCTGTCATCTGGTAGCACTGAGGTTTGTTGTGCTGCATTGTAACTACATTTATTTGACACCTGCTGCTGTTTGTATTTTTGTTATTTTGAGGACCCTCTCAGAAATTAAATAATGCATCTCAAGGGGCCATTCCTTGTAATAAAGAATTGTTCCACAATTGGGAATGTGGATTATTTTTAGATACATTTTTTGATCTGGGCTCGGTCTGCACAGCTAAACACGACTCCCACACGACTTACAAACATGAATTACATGTTTTGAACTTACATGAACTACACTCATGTGTAGAGAAAAAAATAAATAAAAAAAGTGCTTCAGAAGTGTCAGGGATGAAGCAGACAGAGACGGATCGTGGTGTGCCAAACTCTGGAAGTTTATTTAAGTTTCTCTCAAGTTCCAATGGTTTACTTTGTTTCTTTCTCTCAGACAGAATAAAGGCAGTACACAGTTTATATAGTCATTTTCACGTCACACATCGAAAGACGTACGTGTCACAAAGAGACAGTCACATCATAGTCATAACATGGAGTCCTTGTAGAGTCCTGCACGTAGGCCATATTGCTATCTAATACTAACACCCTCCCCTTTGATCACATAATCACATGTGATCACTCAATTTGATAAATCAATAAAGTGGAAAAAGAAAAAAAAAAAAAATTAAAAAAAAAAAAACTTTAAAAAATTATTAAAAACAAAGAAAATGTATGCATTGAACTCATAATCATCAAATCAATATCAGTGGATTTTATCCTCTATCCTGGGAAAAAATAAACAAACAAAAACAAATCAAAAAATAAAAACAAACAAAAACACTATTGGACACACAAGAACTCAGCAGATTCAGTCAAAACACAGACAAAAACGAGCTGAGTCTCAAATTAGAAGCTAATTTCATTTTTATTACTCTATACTTTTATTCTAATGCTGATTGTTTACACTACACTCCACTGTATTATTTTCACTTTTTAATCTTAGACTGTGTACTTTACTTTGACTATTCACTATAGTTTAAACTATTCTAATCTATTTACAAATATGTTTGCATATTTGCTTTTATTGAGCCATATTCTTAAACATACATTTTAATCTAATAAATCTCTCTGTGGTTTACTTTCATTATCAGTGGCTTATTATCAGTTGGATTTTGCTCTGTCTATTCTACATTCTCAGGAATAAAACTGTGAACACAGTAAGACAAATGGTTAATATGAACATTATTATGGTGTGGTCTGATGAAGCTGTGGAAGAGCTGCGCGCATGCATGGAATCTACAGACTGGGACCTTTTCAGAGCTGCCACAGACAGCTTGGATGAATATACGGACACTGTGACGTCATACATCCACTTCTGTGAGGATAGCATCATTCCAACAAGGACCGGGGGGTTATTCTAACAACGACAACCTGGTTGTGCTGGAAACTTCCGGCAGCTCAGGAAAGCAAAGGAGTCTGCTTTCAGGGAGGGGGACCGCAGCGGCTACAAAGCAGCTAAATATCAGTTCAGGAAAGAACTGAAAGCAGCCAAGTCCCGGCACAGAGAACGACTACAGGAGCAGTTTGGTAACAACGATACTGCTTCTGTCTGGAGGGGCCTACGGGAGATCACCAACTACAAACCCAAAGCCCCCCCCTGTGCTGACGACCACAAGCTAGCTGACGATCTGAACTTATTTTTCAGTCGCTTTGATGCTGCCCCTGACACCTCTCCCTCCCCCACCCCCCACTACTCTAACTACTCTAACGACCCACCCATCAGCCCTGCCCCCAGCCTAACAATAGCCGCTAAAGAGATTAAACAACTCTTCCTGAGGCTGCACCCCCGCAAAGCTCCTGGCCCGGACCACGTGTCTCCGGCCACTCTGAGACACTGCGCCAGTGAGCTTACTCCTGTGTTCACGGACATTTTCAACTCCTCTCTGCAGTCCTGCCATGTCCCGGCCTGCTTCAAATCCTCCATCATTGTCCCCGTCCCGAAGAAGCCCAGGATCACAGGACTCAATGACTACAGACCTGTAGCACTTACGTCTGTCGTCATGAAGTCATTTGAACGCCTGGTTCTCTCCCATCTCAAGTCCCTCACCTCCCCCCTCCTGGACCCCCTGCAGTTCGCCTACAGAGCCAACAGATCTGTAGACGACGCCATTAACCTGGCCCTCCACCACATCCTACAGCACCTGGACTCCCCGGGGACCTACGCCAGGGTCCTGTTCGTGGACTTCAGCTCTGCCTTCAACACAATCCTGCCATCCCTGCTCCAGGACAAGCTCTCCCAGCTCAACGTGCCCGATTCCACCTGCAGGTGGATCACTGACTTCCTGACGGACAGGAAGCAGCGAGTGCGTCTGGGGAAGAATGTCTCGGACCCTTGGATTATAAATACAGGAGCCCCACAGGGCTGTGTTCTTTCTCCCCTGCTCTTCTCCCTGTACACCAACCACTGCACCTCCAGCCACGACTCCGTGAAGCTGATCAAGTTCGCGGACGACACCACCCTCATTGGACTCATCTCCAACAACGATGAGTCCGCCTACAGGAGGGAGGTGGACCGGCTGGTGTCCTGGTGCAGTGGTAACAACCTGGAGCTGAACGCCCAGAAGACAGTGGAGATGATTGTGGACTTCAGGAAGAGCACTGTCCCCCCGCCCCCACCCTCCGTGATGGACTCCCCCATCACCTCTGTGGAGTCCTTCCGTTTCCTGGGCACCACCATCACCCAGGACCTCAAGTGGGAGCCGACCATCAGCTCCCTCATCAAGAAGGCCCAGCAGAGGATGTACTTCCTGCGGCAGCTCAGGAAAGCCAAGCTGCCTGCACAGATGTTGGTGCAGTTCTACACGGCCATCATCGAGTCCATCCTCACCTCCTCCATCACCGTGTGGTTCGCTGGAGCCACAGTCAGGGACAAACAGAGACTACAGCGCATTGTGCGCTCTGCAGAGGAAGTGATCGGCCGCAGCCTTCCATCGCTGCAGGACCTGTACGTCGCCCGAGCTCGAGGCCGGGCTGGTCGTATCACAGCCGACCCCTCTCACCCTGCACATGGACTATTCCAACCACTCCCCTCAGGCAGGAGGGTGCGGTCCATCAGGACTAGAACCTCCCGCCACAAGAACAGTTTCTTCCCCTCTGCTGTTGGACTCTTGAACACTTCTTAACCTGTCCCCCCGCCCTTTATAAAGTCACTTTACTGCCCATCATACGTCACTTTACTTCACTGTACTGCTGTCACCTTACATTGTGTGCACCATGTGCACTTGTATATTGTAAATAGTAACTGTAACTCTATTTTAAATTTAAATTTATTCTTTAGAAGTGTTTTTTATTCTTATTTTTATTATCTCTTTTTGACTGTTGCACTGAGCCAAAGCAATTTCCAAGTCTGTGACCTCCCGTTACTTACGTTGGCAATAAAAATGATTCTGATTCTGATTCTGATTCTGAATATCTAAATATCTACTATTGTGTTTTTGTGCTATACCCAAATACATCAAAATGCTTTT